AATTTTGGGTGATTTGGGGAGAAATTTATCAACTCCGGCCTATTCCGACCCTAAATTTTGGTCGATCTGCTGAATATCCGTTGACCGACAACTATAAATGATAGTAGGGAGTTTGAAGTTTTTTAGAGAATTCATCCGAATAAATGCGCTAGTTATATTTGACATCCTGATTCATAAGTATGCGGGTATTCCGGCTTCACGCTGTACTGCTTAATCAAGTCAAAAGTTCCGTAATTGTTAGTTGGATACAAAATACATGTTATTGCGAAAATAATCCAATCACATTATTAACTAATCAGACGCTTCTCGGAATCAAATTTCAATTTGATGCAATTCCGTTCGATATTTACAAAAAAAAAAAAAGATGTGTAACCAAAAAAACATCAATACTACGGTATTAGCATGGAAAATAATCAAGACAAATATTATTATTCTAAGTTATTTGTATTTTAAAATTGGAATTTCTTATGAATATTCATTTTATTTCGTGTTGTTTAGTCTGAATATAAAAGTTATTTGCATTTAAAATTTATGAATCGTACGAATAACGTATAGCGAATATAATACGAGTGATGAATGGTGTGGCATGACTATTTAATGATCGATCACTTATCGACGACCATACTCAAAAAAATTTTTTATGATCGGCCACGATCAAACAAATCAATGATCGACCATTCCTAATTGATCATCATCTCTAGGAGCACATAGAAAAAAGTGTAACGGTAAAAAAAAAAAAGCTTAGTGTATCCGGGTCTTCTACAAGATATGTAATGTAATAGACCTTGTAACATACCCGGTATAAATCGTGGGTGTACTTTCAATCGATGGGGTAATCTACGATAATTCTGCCGATAATTCTGCCTCATCTTCGTGAATCAAAACGTAGTCACGAGTACTAAAACCAAATTTAATTACATCGGATGGACGTAATTCCACATATCTTGAGGTTGGAATTTCTGCTTTATTTACAAACGTATGGTTAGTTGATTCGAGATCAATTATGTATGGTTTGACCTCAGATTTCTTCTCCCCCGTATTTTCGTCGGTAACTGATACTTGTCGAAATTGCAAAACTGCATGTTGACTGGAGCACGATGGGTGGTCAATTGGAATATCCGCAACCTTATTAAAGTATAGGCATGTGAATGAAGCATCATCAAGTATGATTTTAAACCGATTTGAAAGAGAACCACTTACTTTCCTATCACGACCTAATAGATAAGCACTTTGGCGATAAACATGAAAGACATCTATTTAAAACATGATAGAGAACCACATCATTTGTTTTTTAGCGATTAATCTACAATTTACATAATAAAGGATAAATAAATAAATTCTCACTTTACCTAGCTGTTCTGTGTCTTTGAATACATACAATCTCCATCTCTTCGTTGGTTTTCTTGCTTCAGAAGGCTCATGATATTTTAATACAACACCATTAACCGTATTGGTTTCTGCAGCAAGTTTTCCAGATAGCCCAAAATTAGGCTTTGCGACCTCCTGTGGTTTGTCATCCTTTACTGCCGGAGAAGGGGAACGAGCAGGCGAACGAGCAGGCGAACGAGCAGCGCGAGTTTGCGATCGAGAACGTCTACGGGGTGGAGTTTGTGAAGATCTAGAGTGCCTACGAGGCAAAGATCGTGGTGATT